CCAACTCGTCGTCGGACATGCCGCCTCGCAAACGCACCAGATGTCGGCACACTTTCTCCAGGGTGCGTACGATGGCTTCCGGATTATCGGACGATTCTCTGTCTGCGTAGTCCACCTGTTCGAACGAATCGAGTCCTTCGTTCACCAGCATCGCGGCGATGGTCATAGCCGCCGAGTACATGTCGGACTTGATCGAAAGCGTTTTCAGCTTGCGATCCGTCATCACGTGACTGATATCCCTGAACGCTATCGAAGTCAGGTTGTTTCTGGTGCGTACGCAAGAAAAGGCCGGATCAGAGTCCAAAGTGTGAATCTTTGCGCCGACGGGAACGTACATGGCGGCGGGCGTGGAATCTTGGACGACTCCCTACCCGCTGCGTTTCGATTCGTTTTTAGGGTGTATGCCAAACACCCGACTCTTTCTGTCGAACAGTTTGGCCGATCCGAAGTCTATCAGTCTGAACCTGTCGTCCGTGCGGTTGTAGGTGACGTTCTTCGTCGTGATGTCGTTGTGCACGATGCCCGACTTTGCGAGAAATTCGATGGCCGAGTGCAGGTGCGACGAAAGAGTCTTCACGCACGGCAGTAGTTTGTATCGAAAGCGCAACGTGTGCAGATCGCATCCCTCGTTGGTCATCTGTATCGATCTTGCCACCCCGCGATCGAAAGTGGCGCGCAGCATTCGAGGAGTGTACTTTCGGTATACATCATTCCTGTTTGTGTAGGCCAGAATCAGCACTTCCTTGTTGCCGGTAAGATCGTCTCGTGCGACGTTGGACGGACGAACCTTCTTGGTCACCTGTCGTATGTCGGTGTCCGACGACTTCACCGTCGCGAACGCTCCGCTGTCGTCGACTCGATACCCACCGCGCTTGAGAAGAGAATCGGGCATCGATGCGTAGGTCACGGAATGCATTTGCGTATACGGTGACCGAGCCGGTTGCATCATCTTTTCCACCGAAAAAAAAAAGATGAAAGTCTATCGATGGTCTGGCGAGGATAGGCGAACGAAATCCGGCTACGAAGCTCTGATAGCGGAACGTAAATGGCTTATACTAGAACGATTCGGAGTCAACGATGAGTGGACACCTCCTTTGCCGACGATCGACGCGACCCCCGACACTATGCCTTTCGAACTGAAAGGTAAATCTAATTGGAATGTTGTATATGGGGAATTCACTCCGCATCCTCTCGGCAAACGAGGTGTGCGCATCGAACCGATTCGCAGTCGACGTTCGAATCTGTCTCTCGGGAAGTTGATGAATTGGCCGATCGACGACGTCGGAGGACGGTTCGAGGACACGGGCATGACCTACGACGAAAAGACGGACGCGATACTGATCGGCGTAGAGTCCGTGTTGCGAGGAGACTCCGACGTGTCGCGTTCGATCTTCCTCAAACCAGTTGGCGTCGCTAAAGTCGTATCGAATGCTGCTGCTGCTGCCAAGCGGCCAAGTAGTCGCCCGAAAGTCTTGCCGCCACCGACGACGTCGACGACGACGACGACGGTGAACGAAGACTTTTGCACACCCCACGCATGTTGCGCATTTTCACTTCCATGGTCGGGGATGCGAACGTGGGTCTGGTCGCTCTGTCTTTAGAACTGCTTCGTGAAGCGGACGTCAAGAACGCATGTCGCGTTCGCAGGTTGCTCAACGTCATGTGCGATCGAAGGTCCGATCCGGAGTTGGAATCCATGTCGCGTCTGTTCTGGTTCCAGATGGAGAGTACAGCGG